ATAACACTGCTAGTCTTATTTTACAGATGAGGAAATAGAGATTTAGAATTCAGATGCTTCAAACTAGCTAAGGTCACAGTTTCCCAACGCACAGCCTGAATATAACGCAGCCCTCTCTCTGTCCCCAGTCTCCAGGTCTGTTCCTCTTCTGCTCGGCCTCCATACGTGAGCATTTACAAACTTGGCAAAGAAAAAGAAGTTGGCCTCCCAACGCACAGCCTGAATAGCCCTCTCTGTGTCCCCAGTTTCCAGGTCTGTTCCTCTTCTACTCGGCCTCCATACATGAGCATTTACAAACTTGGCAAAGAAAAAGAAGTTGGCAAAGAACTGGAGAGGGTAGCAGTGCCTTCATACCAGCACCAGTTCCATCTGCTGTTCTCACTTGGGTTTCAAGCTCCTGTGAACTGTCAGGAGTGTTCCAGGAAAGGCCTCTTGATTCATTGTTGACGAGTCAGGTTCCACCATTGCTTATCTCTGTGGCCTTCTGTGGCTCTGAGTAGACAAACTAAGGGTTCAGAAAGGATGCCATTTGAACATAGGGTTCTGTTTAAGCAAGATATCTCCATGCATGGCCAATAGGAACAATGATTTGCAGATCTGGTTTCACAAGATTCTACTAAAATGAAAATCCCATGGAACAGATGGAACCCTAAGTCTCTGTCCATAATGTAGTAAATATTTATAACAAAAAGTTTGTTTTGATGCTGACATTTGTGCTATAACTACATTTGAAGACTATGAGGGATTTTCCCAAAAGGCATTTATTTGGTTGTGAGAAACATGTGTCTATGCTTTTTGGTTCAATCACAAGTCTTCCCAGAAAGAGGAAGATGATTGTCAGCAGGAACTCAGCATTTTGGGGGAAGAGGTAAGAGTGAGACAAAGGCGAACCTCTGTTTATAAGGGGGATAGGGAACACCGAAGAGAGAAAGTGTGAATTGAAGGACAATGTCACACAATGGAAAGCATGAGCTTTGTAATTAGGAAAATTGGGATTTGAATCCTGCCTTTGCCTATGTAAACAATTATTGATTTAATGAGTTTAAATCCTGTGCTAGGTACTGAGTTAGGTATTAGGCAAACAGAGGTAAATAAGAAATAGTTCCTGGGAGCACACAATCTAGAAATGTATATACATTTAAAAGTGTTTAAATGTGTGATGGCTAAGCACAGTGATAATGACCTTTATTGGGTACTAGGGAGGCCCATAGAAGAGACTTCTAAAAAGTCCTAGTAGGAGGGCAGACCAGGAAGCCTTGCTTACTGTTGACTTTGGGTGAGCTAATCTAAGTATCAGTTTTCTCCAGCTGGTAATAATTATCTTGCTGGATTGTTGTGAGAATTGAATTAAATAAGTCATATGCAACATCTACTATGGTATCAGGCAAATAGTAGAATTTCTAGAAATAGTTATTATGTTAATAATGATGATTGTGATGACAAAGATGGTATTGACATGAAGGACAAATGGGTCAAAGAACAAGAGACTCTAGTGGTTGGAAGAGCCAATTTTTTGTCATTCAGAATTAGGCCAAGTGCCCATGTCTCTCCTTTGTGCTCTGAGCTCACTGCACTGTATTGTTTAATTCCATTAAATTGTGAGCTCCCTAAAGACAGGCAGAATAACTCTGTCTTAGGAACCACTGTGACTTCAGAATTTAGCCTCAATCTTAATCCATGGTAGTCTCCATACATGTTCATGGAGGGAAAGATGTGGCAGAGAAAGGAAAGATGGAAAGAGAAACAGGTGAAAGGAAGAAGGGAGAAATCAAGAAAAATTATTGTTCAAGGACACTAAATGCTGCTGTTCCCTCACCTCTATTTTATGTTTCATAGCAACACCTTCATGATCTTTTTCCACACCTATCCTCCTCTAACCAGGTACCATAGACAATATCAGCCCTGATTTCCTCTATCTGGGTTGAAATTCCAGCCGTGCCACATACTGAATTATATGGGTTATGTAAGTTCTTCATCTCTTTGAGTCAAGTGAGGATAAATCCAGTTGAACATGGCATATTGAAATGTACATTAAGTCCACTTCTTCCTGAAAGTCCATTATAATTACAGTGAACATTTTTTAATGGGAGAGGTGGTAAACGTATAAGAACAAAGGTGATAGCACAGTACAGTTTAAAATTTTTTGGAAGTTGGAAAACCCATGGAACAAAGATAATTGGCTGAAAACTCAACTTGCAGGGGAGGAAGGGAGAAGACAGCTGGTCTTCATTTATACGTTTCCCCTTGGTTCTTAAAATATGACAATGTAATGAAATATATTTATCATATAAAACATACAGAATAAGGACATCCCCTTCTATCCAGTGCCCGGTGAGTTTACCTGCTCTAAATGCTGGGCCACTGGCAAGAGAGAGAGACCTACTTTGGAGTATTTTTTCCTTCCTTCAGCCCCAACCTGGAAGCTGTTATTGTTTTAGTCAAGTGGAAACCAATATGATGAAAGGCCTTTTAGCCATATAGATGGAGATTTTTACATATTTTTTCTCTCCTGAAGCTACAAGAGCTTGAAGGAGGAACTAGGCTGTGCCCAACATACAACTCTCTTGTGATTAGCTGTTTAGAAACTGTGACCCTCCTTATCATTCTCCATCCTTGACAAGCTAAATAAGCCATTTCATTGTTATTGCTACCGTTGTCACTATTGTTTTTGCCACAAATTTAATCTCGTCTATACTTCACTAAACCTAGAGTTTCCTTTGGAAAGAAAACACTTCTATGAGTTTAAGACAAGAAAACAAATGTCCCAAAAAATGGACTTTGCAAGGTGGTACAGAGCTTTCTGCTCAGGTTGGTACCTCAAAGCAAAACATCCTGTTTCATGTGTTTCTTCTTCCCTGACCAAAAGTGTGGACCTCCGGGTCACTAGGACAAAGATCAGCAGAAAAAATCAAAAGCAGTAGACTCAAATCACAGCTCTTAATCATGGCCAATCTACAGAGCCCAAGAGTAAGCATACAGGGTTTTAACTGTTGCACGCACTGGACTGGGGGATCGGACACTTGCATCGTCATCCTAGCTCTGCCCTCAGAAATGCATGACTTTGCAGAGTCATCAGTCTGGGCTTTCGTTTCCTCCTCAGGGAAGCAAGGCCGGGTGCTGTCTGAGTTTCTTTACAACTTGAGTCCTGATCTTCCCCTTCCCGCTCCCTCCAGACTATAAATATCTGGGTCTGAGTCAACAGTGGCTGGAGTCTGCCCAGCTGCAGCTTGTCTTATAGCACTGGGCCAGCTCTGTAAGTCTCTGAGCCTTACTTCCCTGTTCCTTAAAGGGGCAAAACAGCTGTACATTCCCCTAGTGTTGTTGTGAGGATTAAATGAGATAATGGAGTTCTGGTGTTGGCCACACCACCTGGCACAGAGTAACTTTTCCCCAACCCAGTGACAACATTCTCCCTCATCTCCCTTTTGAAGGCCAGAGGCCATGGAGGAAGCGGGGCTGGTGAGGCTTCCCCAGAAGTGAAGACTCTTGGACTAGTGATTAAATATTTTGCTGAATCCTCTGATAAGAATTTGGGGAGGGGAATGAACATGAGCAGCATTAGGGCAAAACTCTCGTGCTTGGGCCCAGGCAGCGGATTAAAAACAAAACAAAAGATAGTGATGATAGTAACTGCAAGTTTCACAAGGACAAAATAAGTTTTTAAGAACTTGGTGACCTGTTCTATGAGAACCCAAAGGAGATGAGATGAATTCTTCACAATTATAGATATACTAGAGGTCCAGTGCACAACATTCATGCACTGAGGGGGGGTTCCTTCAGCCTGGCCTGAACCCTTTAGAAGTCCAGGAGCCCTTGGGGGATGTTTGACTGATGGCTTAGGCCTGCTTCCCCCTCTCACCCCCCACTCCCGCTTCCCAACACCTTAGCGCTGCCACGGAGGCAGGAGAGGCTCCCACCACCACCTCTGGGTTCAGCTTGTGGCTGAGCAGTGCTCCCCCTGTGGGAGTGCACTTTCCACCAGGGGACAGCACCTGTGTTGAGCGTCTGCCCCCTGGTGGTCAGCACTCATCATAGCGACCAGTCTTTCTGCCATTCGGTCGATTTGCATATTACCCCTTTGTTATATAGGATAGCTCAGTCCCTAGAGCTATTGTTAAAGGCTCCATGCACACCCACACTCACAGCTCACATACACATGCTCACACACTCTC